TACATGCTTAGCTTTTATGAGAGTGCTAGGGATCCAAACTCAGGCCTTCGTGTTGGTGCATGGAGCACTTACAGACTCAACTATCTCTTCGGTTAGGCTTCCTTGTTTGCTAGTGAATGTCTGTGGACACGGTGATCTCTTGGGACACCCTCTAAGCTGCTTTTAACTGTTTTAATTATAAGACCTGTGAAGCATGTTTTCTCCTTCCATTTCCACTTCAAGACAAAAATCCCAATGCCCTCCATCCCATTCAGATTCAGGGTAGAGCTGTATTACATAGGGAAAAAACGCAATACTCCTTCATATTTTACCTGCAATGTGAACACAGTCTTATCTAATATCTTCTCGTCTGTTAGCACACATCCTTCAGTTAATTTTGCTAGTGTCTATTTTTCTTTTCTGAATCTGTTACACATGCTAAAATAAAGCTGATTAGAATTGCTGGTGTAATTTATAAGAAGAAATGTTATGTTTAAAGAAGCCAGGAAACACTATAAGAACTCAATACACTCTGAAATGGTTCACTCTGGCTCATAACAATCTCCACCTCCTGCCTTGTTTGTTTTTCTCTCTTCCTGTCTCCCTCAGAGTAACAGGAGAACGTCACTTGCAAACAGACTTAGTCCTGATTCATACTGTCAACCTATCCGCCCTGAAAACCAAACCAAAGTGAGGGCAGCACAATGGGGCCAGCTCTTTGGTCCATACTGACATCTCCATGTGTACTCACCGAGACAATCTGACTCCGTATTTCTTGCAGGTGATTCCGAAGAACCTTAATGTCCTTAGACCCAGATGCCCCCGCATCCAGCACAAACAGCTTATTTGAGACATGAAGGTCATTCCCGAACCTACGGCAAAAGCAGCAGCCGCATCAGCCCCGGTTCAACCTTAGGTTTTCCCATACAGGGTCATGGTTCCTACTAGCCCCAGAGGCTGATGGGAGGAAAGGAGGAGAGGGTCCTAGTGACCCTGAAGAAGCTCTCTGTCTCTGCTGCTGGGTGAACTCTGCTGGTCCCTCTTGATTCAGTGTGTGGGAAGTCAGTGCACTCTTTAGATCATATAAGCAGGAGTGTGGGGTTTCAGCACAGGTAGAAAGATGTCAGAGCCTCCTGACGCAGAGGTTCAAGTGTTCACTTTCCAAGGGAGAGGAGGAAATGCTGCTGAGCAGGTAGAGGAAGCAAATGTAGAAAGATGTCAGAGCCTCCTGATGCAGAGGTTCAAGTGTTCACTTTCCAAGGGAGAGGAGGAAATGCTGCTGATGGCGGAAGGCTAAGATCATAGAACAAGAGAGTTAAACCACCGATCTAAAAATATTCACATAAGACCTCTTTGCATAGCAAGAAGAAACAGATAGTATCCCTCATTGGTAACTCAAGATCTGAGTGAGTGCCACCATGTTACTGAAAACTGCAAGTTCAGACTTTATGCTTTAAAGACTCATTTTTAATTTTTATTTATGTGTATGTGTCTCTCTGTGTGTGCCACCTGTGTTTAGGCGCCCACAGAGGCCACAAGGGGTTGATGGAGCCTTGGAGCATGCTACGGTTCACATGAAGTCTGTCCTCCAGGGGTTCCTATGCTATAGAGGCTCTGTCCCCAGGGAGGTGATGTGTGTGGGGGGGTCCATAAGAAGTTCAGCTTAACTCAAGATTGCAAATCCCAGAGGTGCTGCCTCGCCAAGAGACTACTTTAGTTTCCATGGGGTCTGCAAAGTCTCAAGAGAATCTAATCCCAAATCCCTCCCTGGATCCTACCCTTACATGATCTCCGCCATGATGCCACCCGCCAGGACCGAACAAGGACTGACGAAATGGGGTCTAAATGTTTTGACTCCTAAGCTCTTAGCTAAGTGCACCTTTCTTATTAGCTACTCAACATCAGAAATACCGCTACAGCAGTGAAAATCACTAACAGATTCTAAGTCAAAAGTTGTATTTTCCTCTAGTCCTTTATAAGAGAAACAAAGGTCTTATGTGGTAATTCTTGACAGACAAGCACTCCCATCTTTTCCATTCGGCTCTGTTCCGCTCCATCCCATCCTAACCCATTATGGACCTGGACGTTAATCTAAACAATTTTATAACCCAGCAGTGTCTGCAATTTACACACTGGGAAATACTGACCCAAGTGCTAATCATGTAAATCCCAAAGCCTGGGAACAGAGGTCCCCTCCACGTGGAGGTGCTGGATGAGAAGGTGAGAGCAGGCTGTGGCCTCTCACCATGATCTCCCTGTGTCTAGCAAGATTTATTGCATGTGTGCTCATCTGTAGTGGCATCTTGCCTTGTCAGCGAACTTGTAGTGGCCACACCCTTTGGACTTTTCCTGTTCTCTTACTTTTGTAAATCTTACTCTTGCTCTGTGCATTGCTGTGTGGCTGTGTATCTGTATGGCTGGGTGGCTGGCCCCTGGCCTCCTCCTCTTCTTGTTGCTTATTTGCTGGCTTTTCTTTTCTTTCTTTCTTTTCTTTTCTTTTCTTTCTTTTCTTTTCTTTTTCTTACTTTTGTAAATCTTACTCTTGCTCTGTGCATTGCTGTGTGGCTGTGTATCTGTATGGCTGGGTGGCTGGCCCCTGGCCTCCTCCTCTTCTTGTTGCTTATTTGCTGGCTTTTCTTTTCTTTCTTTCTTTTCTTTTCTTTTCTTTCTTTTCTTTTCTTTTCTTTTTTTTTTTTTTTTTTTTTTTTTTTTTCCCAGGCAGGCTGGCCTTGAACTCAGAGATCAGCCTGCTTCTGCCTCACGAATGCTGGGATTAAAGGCGTGCACTACCAACGTCCGGCTTTTGCTGGCTTTCCAGTAACAGTAACACTCACTGCTTTGATGGAAATGAAAAATTCAACACAGGACCAATCAAAGATGATCCTTCATCCACTCTACCCTACTCCAAGCCAGCATGGCCACATATCCTCTGCTGCTCACCTGACCTGGTTCCCCAGATCACACGCTCGCCC